TACCAAGAAGATGGGCGACCCGGGACCTTTCCAAAATTCGGTGCCGTACCAGTATCGCTGCTTGAAGGTGCCGAGGCTCGGGTTCGAGTGGTCAATGAGCTGGTCAAACGTGCCCCAGCCATTTGTGCCATTTGTGCCGTCAACCGCTTCGATGCTTGGATCGATGGGGCCGACTTGCATGCCCGCTTGTCGAGGAAATCCAATGGCCGAGGCGGCCACCGCGAGCAGGAGCTCCAATGCAGCAACCGAGAGCTTCATTGTCGTCAGGGCAGAGACACTACACCAGGGTCGCGCAAAACCGACGACCTAGACGAACAAGAGAGTGCGTCGCGCCGCCACAAATGCAAGGGAGACGGCCGCCTTTATTCGCGCCCTCCCCCGTCGCTCTGCCCAGCTTCATTGATTGATCTACTGTGCCTTCATCAGTCCCCCGTCACACAGGGACAGATCTATGCCGCCATGCTACACCACAATGCAGGGCGTTACCGATCGCCAGTCCATCGCGGGTCCGGAAGACTGGGTTTGCCTGGTTCTGGGCAATTTCATGCCGTCCACCTTCCTGGTTGGTAGGTCACGGATCGGATACCACCTTGGATTGAGTAACGGTTGATGCAGCATCACATCGGAAATCATCCGGATGTACAAGGTTAATTTGCAGTCCAAGCACAATTGGGCAGGTCGAGCCCCCGGATCTTGGGAACCTCCTTCTCCATTCCTGCGAGACTCCTCATTCCTCTAGCATAGTAGCACTGTAAAAAGCAGTTCGCTGCGCCCCGCCTGCACATACAAAAAAAAATGACATGGCTCTCTTGTGGCTGTTAAAGCGTTGAAACCAATCACACAGTCAACCTGGCAATCTATCTCATCCTACCAATCTTACTTCAATTCATCGACGTCGGATCGCACGACCTTCCTAAAAGGGGTGGGAGCGGGCCAGTATCATGGAGGGTTAGGGTTGAATGGGCTCCGAGCAGGCTCGGCGCTTTCGAGTCCCTGTTAAAGCCGGCGCTCAGCCGCAACACCATCTTGATTCGTCGGCTGCCATCATGGACAGGGAACGGGGAATGGAACTGGGCCGTCCATTCCAAAGTCAGGTGACTACGTGCCCGAACAGGAATGGCCGTCGTCAAGGTCGGCGTCAACCTGGCTTCGTGCCGACGACAACCTCCGACATGCCGGCTCGCACGCTAGATGGCAACCACGATGTCGGTCGTTATGGAGTCTCGCGATTACCGACAACGGGCGGCGTATTGGAAATGCTGCATCGAGCCAGATGCCAACCATGTGCTTTCGTCATCCACCTCGACCTCACCTAGAAATATCTGTCGTAATTACGAACATATCCTACTGGCCTCAGTTCTCTAAGTTTCTATCGCGCATGCCTTTTGCCTATAATCCATAATCCTATAATCCTATAATAAACGGTCTCCCCTTATCCTCAACCCCGTAACGACATGTCGGCATGGTTGTCAGTGTCTGTAGAGATTAGTTAGACTTACAGACTGGTCAAGTCAAAGCACTCATCGTTGACCACTTTCTCTTCCGCTCCGACATCGATATGTCGTCACCTGGCGCGTCCGGTCAGGTCAGTCGCCGTTGTTTACGCAGAATACGAGTGCCCTGAGTAGGACATAGACATCGCTAACGCACACCTCCAGATGCAGGGGCCTCCATATCTTCCGGGAACGCAAGCCATCGGCGGCACCCCGACCTTAGGTGTAGACGACCCCATTTGTGCCGTCTTAATCTTCCTTTTCGCGGTCGTGGCCGTATTCCATATCACATGGAGGGTCAAACAGAATGAAGACCACAGGTCCAAGCTGGGGTTCCTGCTCTTCATATTTTCTTTTGTCCGCTCGGTCGCCCTGGTCTTGCGGATAGCCTGGGCATCGAGGCCGACCAACATCAACGTCGCCATAGCGGCCAACGTGTTCACAGCCGCTGGCGTCGTTATCCTGTTCATCGTCAACCTGATATTCGCCCGTCGAGTCGTGAATGACTACTGCAGGTTCGGCAAACACAAGGCCTTCGACTGGGCCCTCCGGTTCCTCATCTTCTGCATCGCCGCGTCGATAATCATGCTCATCGTGGCGACCGTGTACAGCTTCTTCACCCTGGATGCAGCCAAGCGCCTCATCTGCCGCAAGATCCAGCTATTCGGAAGCACGTACCTGACCCTGCTCGCCTTTCTCCCGATCCCAGCGGCGATCATGGCTCTGCTGTTCCCCAGCGACATGACGCGGACCGACCCATATCTGAGGCGACGGTTCCGTGCCAAGGTCCAGCTCCTCCTCGTCACCTCCGCCCTTCTCACTCTCGGCGCCGGATTCCGCTGCGGTACAAGCTTCGACGCCAGGCCGCTGGGCCAGGTGACGTGGTTCCACCACAAGGCGGCGTTCTACTGTTTCAATTTTGGCATCGAAGTCATCGTGCTGTACATATTTGCGGCCGCTCGGTTCGATTCCCGCCTCCGGCTTCGGCAACCCGTCGATGCAACCGATGCAGAGAATTCGAATGACGCGTCTACGACAGAGAAAGCGACCCTTCCGCAAGGCAAATGGTCCAGGTTGGTTCACGACCGCGAGATGTTTGGTGGTGGGGGTTGGGATCAATAAAAGTTTTGTGTATCGTCATCGTTATGCGGGCAGGATGGGATGTTGCATGGACGTCGTCGGATATGTGTGGCCATGTTTGTAACTTGATACCCGGTGTTACCTCTCACAGTTGTCTTAGGTTGTTGTAGTACTGCATCAGCATATTGTACAGTATAATATAGATTTAGTCCTATCCAAACATCTTCACTTCCCCAGCTTTATCTCCTGTTCGTATTACCACAGATGTGAAAGCAGCGCAAGCCTTCAAGTGTCTGCCTGATGCAATTTCTTGCCCACAGTGACTCCGTGACGTGCAAGAAGTCGATGACCCAGGGCGTCGTTGAAGAAGTCACTGAGATCGAAGTAGAATAATAACCTTACCTAAGGTAAGGTAAGGTAGGTGGTAGGTAAGGTAGGTAAGGTACCTTACCTTACTGTGTACCTCGATACGCTGGCTCCCGCTGTACCCTACCTTAGCTCCCGCCGTGGCCCCGCTTTCGTCAGGATCCCTGCGAGTCCTTCACACGCGCTTCGAACCCCGAAGACGCGACATTGTCTTCCGCATACCTCTCGCTTAGCCGACCGCAGTTCTTGTTTCGAGACAGTAACAATGTCGCGTCGCCCGCCAAAAGGAGAATATATCGAAACGGTGGGTTTTGCCTGGCTACCACTTGCACCAGAATTCGGCCATGGTCATAAGCTAAAGTGCGGCACTCCAGGATACCGGCAACAAGGTCGCCCGCAAGGCGAACCTGGTCGGCACCCAAAACATCATGCTCGGCGGCAAGACGGTCATCCAACCCGAGGCTATGATACGCGGTGACTTAGCACGCCTGAATCCACCATCCTCAGCCTCATCGTCTGGTGCTGCCGCGCCTGGTAGCAACACAGCGGTGTCCATCGGACGATACTGTTTCCTGGACCGAGGATGCTGCCTTCGACCGCCGAGCCGAATGTACAAAGGGTACGTCATCAATTGATCTCTCAAACGGCCGTGAAGAATCCGGCTTGTCATTAACCTTGACCTCTGGACAGCGCCTTCACCTACCTACCATTACGAATGGGAGACCATGTCTACGTTGGTCCAGGCTCCGTCGTTCAGGCCGCCAGTATCGGAAGCCATGTCCACATTGGAAAGGACGTCGTCATCGGAGAAATGGCCATTATCAAAGACTACACTCGCATCCTGGACGGTACCGTCGTCCCCCCACACATGGTCATTCCGAGCTTTAGCATTGTTGCTGGCAGACCGGCGCGGGTCATTGGTGAGGTGCCCGAGGGTGGTCATGAGGCCTTCGAGCTGAGGGAGCTGTACAAGACGGTTGGCAACAACCCACAACGAGCGCCTGTCTGAGAGAATGTTACCGGGCCATATTTCGTCCAGAAGAATAGAGGAGCTCGACTGTTACGGGCCGCTGGATGGTCTTTGCCTTGTCGCCTCAACTCAAACTCTGGTCACATGGAGCCTCATCGCGAACGAGACAAGCTCTTGGACCTCGGATTTGCTGCACGATGTGCTTGCAAGTTCGGGGTGCGTGCATTGTCACAGTTGCAATTGCGGTCATATATGTGACAGCAGGAAACCTCAGCGCCATGAGCCTGGCCTTTTGTGATCCAGAGTCTGCCCACCCCTCGGTCCCACAGATCTGTGTAAGGTGTGCTATCAGAACAAGAACGCGCAGACGCGACTCGTGCTAACCCGATCACAGGAATAGCATCGCTAGACCGCATCTGTAACCTAGCTGGCCAACACCTTGGGCATTCGCCGTTACATCACGAGAACGTACCTAACAGGAACACCATTACTTTCCTCCTGAGATGAGTCCTGCTCCAGTCGGCCGATTTCGTGCGCGCTGCAACTCACCTCATCAATGGCTGAGCCCGGGACCATATCAGGTTCCAACAAGTCAGGGGATAAGAGCTACGGCCTGGAGAAGCGTTTACAGATTGATCACGGCATGTTGGGCCTAAGACACTGACCGTGCATTCGGCGATAAATATTGTAGAGAAAGCTATGCATGTGCACCTGATGGGTTACACTTGCTCCTGCACCGGGAGGACGCAAATATAGCAATTGACTTGGTTCACCTACTCGGCTTGCTGACCCCGATGTAGGACGCTTAACCAGTCATGAAGGTAAGATACAGTTAGCCGGAGGCAATGATGCTCCTGTATAGCCGCTCTCACCTTGCAATAGCAAATACCACGGCTCTCTTAGAAACCCGTAAAACGTCATCCCTCTAGTCCAACCGCTTCTTTGTTATAACCTTCCTGTACCTTTGCATGTGGTGCTATCTAATGTCGTGCATAAGGCGCGAGCAGAGATTGTAGCTCAACAAGCCCATGTGGAGGTAGAGACCCCCACCTCTGATTGATAAGATATGACTAGTGCACCCATTCCCATCAGCCTGTTTGGCGCAGTGGTAGTCGCGTGTCACTTGTATCAACTATTCGTGCAAGATCATGACAAGGTCGTTCGTTCAATCCGGGCAACAGGCAGACTATTTCTTTTTGGCATTTTCAAGTGTATTATCACTTGTGTTTTCGGTCTGTTTTTTTCTCTGCATTTCATTTTCATTTTTTTTTTTATTGTATTTGTACCTGAAAAATGAAATTAGATATCCCTCGTTGGCCTATTTTTGCATGTTATGAACTTATGTCGCCCTAGAAGAAAGACATGATACAGGGCAGGTCGAATGGCTCTGGAAGATTTGATCGAATGCTGGGATGTTAAGTGTTTCGATGTGTTAAAGAGTTGCGCGCCTGGTTGCCATGAATTACGAATCCAACCATCGTTGAGTGTATGTATTTATTTTTCATTATGTCCATAGCGTAAAGCAGCTCCCTCTTCCTGTGATAACAGCTCTCCGTGGTCTAAGATCCATCCCTGATCTCATCAGCAATCTTCTCGGCAAAGGCGTAGATCGTACTCTGCGGATGACCAGGTGGCAAGAGCGCAAAGGAACTAGCATCCACAACCCTCAGTCCACTGACACCGATCACCCGCGCATGGCTGTCCACCACCGCATTCGGATCATCTCTTCTTCCCATCCGACATGTACAAGCAGCATGGTAGACAGTGTGCACACTATTGCGTATCGTATCGAGGATCTGCGCGTCAGTCTGCACCTCCGGCCCGGGGAAGTACTCGACCGGATCTGCCAGCACGGGACGCATCGCGCTACTGGCAAAGGCGGCGCGCACACGTTTGTAGGCAGCCACGGCAACGGATGCGTCGGTCGGGTCCGTTAGCCAGTTGGGGTTGATGACCGGCAAATCCAGGGTCGTGTCGGACGAGATGGTCACGTTACCGCGCGACTGCGGAGCTACGAGTGCGGCCAGGATGGTTGCGTATTGATAGCCGTCCTTGGGCTGCTGTAGAAGCAGGTTCTGAAAGTTACCGATGTAGCCGGGACCGGAGATGTACTCTATCTCCGGCCAGGAGGCGGGATAGGTGTCTAGCACGGCGGCTGCGGAGGGAGTGATCATGTTTCGAGGAGCCTTTTCCCATCCGAGAAAGTCAGACACGGGATTGGTCAGGGGTCCTTGCTTGAGCAGGGTGTACTCTGTTGCGAATTGGGCGAGGAGATAAGCCGGGTCGTTTGCGAGCTTGGTGAAAGTGTCGACTTCAACGCGGTAGGCTGGGCCGAAGAAGACGTGGTCGGTTAGGTTTTGGCCTACGCCTGGGCGGTCGGCGACGGTGGGGATGCCAAGGGAGGTCAGGAGAGAGACCGGACCGACGCCGGATACCATAAGAAGCTGTGGGGACTGGAAGGCGCCTGCTGAGAGGATCACTTCCTTTTGTGCAGTGAGAGTCGCCCCTGGGATAGCCACGCCGGTTGCTCGCTTGGACGCGGAGAAGATGATCTTCTGAGCGAGGGTGGCTTGATACACTGATAGATTGGGACGCGTCGCGGCGGCATTGAGAAAAGAGGTTTGCGAGGACTCGCGCATCTCAGTGTTCGGATCGATGGTGCTGGAGCAGTATTGCGCTCCCATCACGGTGCCGCTGTTGAAGTCGACGGCGGTTGGGATGCCAATCTCATTCAGGGCTGGTTGCATCCAGCTCGAGAAGGGACCGGCATAGTTGGCATAGGAGACGTGGAGAGGGCCACCGGATGGGGAGAAGGCGGAAGGGTCAAACTGGGTCGTTGCATTTGCGGCCCGGGTCGGACCCGGTGGTGTGAAGGTGCAGCTCTTCTTGAAGTAAGGGAGGAGGGCGTCGAAGGCGTAACTTTGATCACCTATACTATCGGCCCAGAGCTGGAGGGAGCCGACGTCGGGGCGTTGGTATATCATGAAGTTGCGTGCCGAGCTGTTTTGTGTTAGCTGCGTCACATGTGTTGTCAATAGGGGGTTCTCACCTGCCCCCGAGACACTTTCCTCGTGGATAGTGCAGCTCCCTACCATTCGCACCGGCCTGGGGTGTGGTGACGAAGTTCCAGTCGACCAGTGGGTTCGTGTCCAGGGGGGAGGCACCGGCAAAAATGACGTCTCCGGCCGGCAGCGTCGACAATAGGGGGCTCGTTACCTCATACAAGGAGCCGGCCTCTATGACTGCCACTGTGATTGAGGGGTCTTCTGTAAGTCTTGCTGCCACGGTGAGACCTGCCGTACCTCCACCGACGATAACATAGTCGTATGTTGCATCTAGCCGCTTGTGCTTTTCCTTAACAGGCACAGCCAGGACTGATGGGAGAGTGCATAGCAGGACCAGGGAAGCAAGAGCGCGTACCATCATCTTCGTGATGGTCTCAGCCTTAACTGGAGCTCTGTGATCGTGAGCTTGTCATCTGAGCCAGCCGACTATGGACAGTATTGGCACTCTCATCTCATTTTATAGACGACGAGGCACTGCAAGAGCAGGGCGCCAAGTCACAAGCCTTGTAAGATGCCTCGGACGGCAGATGGTGTGCTTAAGCTTCATTTCTCCGAATATCAAAGATATGGACTCGCCCACAACATCATCACTGCTTCCAATGCAGCCTAGAAGCAGTGACGTTGTCGGAATCTGCAGTCCGTCAGAGTGATCTGCGGTGAGGAGAAACCTGGGGTCGCAAGGGGTCAGCCACTCTTTCCCCGAACCGGCTTTGCTTGCGGTCCGCATTTTGGTGTAGGATTGGAGTGTGCCCCAAGTTCAACCCATGCAGTACCTAAGAGTTCGCGAGCAGCTCCCAGAATTCAGGAGAGACGAGATGCCTAACATGTTGATGGGGCTCAACCCCAGCCTTTGAGCCATAGTCCTCATATTGAATACAGCGATGATGATAAAAGAAGCGGCGCTCCGTATATCGTCGATAGGCGATAACCAAGGACAGTGACGGAAGCCTATACAGTTCTAGAAATAGTATGGTCGTTGTGTACATGTATAGATGAGGTCCAGGCTCTCAACCAAGACAAGACTGACAGCTGCGGAGAACCTCGGGGTCACAGACATCACATGTTGTGGTAGCATCTGAAATCACGGCATATTGATGTCAAGATACAAGTAGTCTTCCTGTATTCTCTATGATGCTCCCGGTCATATCGACGACCAGACGAAACGGCGAAGGCATAGGAAAAAGACTAACAAACAGTGTGCCTTTGCTGGACGACTTGCCAGGGTTAGGGTCGGTTCGGGAAAGAAAATAAAAAAAGAGGATGATACCTGGAAAGGCGACATCGGGAATTGAGCCCGATGCGGGGGTCGAACCCGCAACCTTGAGATTAAGAGTCTCACGCTCTACCGATTGAGCTAACCGGGCCATTGAGCTGTGATCCTTGCGGGTATGGATCGTTGGAGATCAGGGGCGGTATTGTCGTTGATGTTGGGCGAGTAATGACCATGAGAAAAGAGTTGAAAGTTGCGGTGCCAAGTGGGTAATTCAGTGAAGAATTCTCTGGGAAAGTGGAGTGATCTGGAATAGGGGTGGGGGTGTTGAAAGGTACAGTACCTAGATGCGTAAAGTCGAGCCGATGTTCGAGGGATATAACAGTGTTTTGTGCCTTAGTAAGACAAGACCCAAGCCTGATCGTGGTTTCGGACTTCACATCTTCAAGCCATCGGCAGTCGATACATTGAACCCGATATCCCCTGACCTGTGCTGGCCTGGCATCACACGCCGTGACTTTCCTCAGGACCAGCTTATATCGAAACAGCCCTGCCTCTGGGCTTTCTGCTTTCCGTTGTCTCATCAAGTAGTACAGATACTCCAGTCATTAGTTGCCCCGGCTCATCGCTGTTGTTCCTACCGATCCTGCGATACTCTTTGGCATAGTTAGTTGCGTTGACTGAGTTCCGTTTCGTACAGAGGCGTCGCAACTTACTGAAGATAGCTTGGATACACATCAACAGGGTTGGCGCCAGCAAAACCAGGGCAACAACTTGTCCAAACCCCCACGCATCTTCGGAGTCACCGTCCAGGAGTCCCGAGTTCCATCTTCTCATGGTCAGCACCATGTACAGGTGCAAGGGATATTGGAAGAGAAGAGGACAGATGACGGCGATCTGCTTCTTTTGCTCTGCCAATTCATCCCAGACTGTGTCGTCCACAAATAAGCGGAACCCGCCAACAATACTATATGCGACACCGTTTCCAAATGCACTTGCGACGCCCACAACAATAGAGACTATTTGCAGGTACATAGTCACAGCGGAATGGAGAGTGGCATATCTCCGTGATCTTCCACTACGTTTGAAACGTTCCAGCAACATCGGAATATTTGTTAAGTTTCGTATCTTGAGGCCGCGTGGCCAAGGGAGCTCGAGATCCCAGAGGGGGGGGAGTGCGGCGATCAGGATAACGAACAAAAATAGGCAAGTCACTGCGAGGTATATGTGGTCAACATACGGGTGCGCCGCCCCAGAAGCTGAGATGTTGGTGGTAACATAGCAGCGGCCCAGTGTTTGGTCGTCCCATCCCTGAAGAGCGATGCCAAAGAGGATGGAGAAAGCCAGATATAGGACAGAGAAGACACCGATGGCGATGATGCGACCCGTCAACCCCTCCTCACTGGAATCGATCAAGTTCACCAGAGCCGCGCAGAAAGACACACTATCGGCCAATCATTGGGTCATCAGCAATCGTCTTGTGGGGGAAGTTGTCGAATGGGCAGGTAACTTACGCGGTAAAGTTGACCGTGTCGTAGACGATGTGGAAATGGTACAAGTCTAGGTCTCGACACTGGACCAGAGCCGCAACTAGCAGCGCTATCCCTACTACACGTAAGAGACACGGTATGTATAAGCCATGCGGGAGGGTGTCTTACCATTTACAGTTTGGATGTCGCTAATTGTGGCTAGGACTCTCTCCAAAGTCTTTCTCTTCTCGACTTTGAGGGGCCATACCGTCATGGTCCCCCAATTTGGAAGCGTTATCAGATCTGGATTTTGGTCGTGAAGGGACCAGACTATCACCGACAAAATAAGGGAGATTCCCGCTTGGATGGCGAAGGCAACGATTATCTAGTCATTGTAAGTTAACACCCATCCGTACAAAGGCGAGCAAAACGAAATCGCACGAGAGCAAGTGATAGGAACGACCTACTCCAAGCCCGGAAATGTCTGGGTTCGTGGTCCCCACGCCGCCTTCACATGACATTGTCCTGATGTTGGGTCGAGTTCCTGGTTAGAGCTCCTCGTCGACTTGCTTTCGCGGCTATCGAAGCCAGACTTTGAGACCGGCGGTTCTTCATTGCCGTGCCAGAATCATTGCAGCTGAGCCTGGTCTCCCAACCGTCACACGGGATTCTCCCGAGAGGTCGCGCCACGTCGCTTCAGCCGCATTCTCTCGCAAACACGATTGGAGAAAACAGATGCCAAGAACAGAGACATGCACAACAGCAAACTAGGTGAAGCTATGAGCTAGCCGTATAATTTGTCGCTTAGTGTAATAAGAAGAACAAGTTGAATAACCGCTACATCACCCGACAACGTGAAGGAGGAATAAAGAACGCAGGGTATGGATCAACGTCAAACTAAGAGCCTAGACCTAAAGGCCGGCCCCTGAAGTGACCAGAGCACTGGAGACGGTTTGAAGAGTAATTTATTCATTCTCGGAACACCAATTTTGTTTGGGTTGACATCTTGATGTCTCTGGCGTTGATGTTGATATTGATATTCGCATCGACCGGCCATAGATACAGATGTCCGAAGCCGGCGAGGATGCCTTCCGGCCCGGTGGTCATTGGACCGGCTATGTGTGGTCTATTCGGATCGCATTCCGCCGAGCAACGATCCCACTAACGGAGCTACCCCGCCAACGTGGAGCTTTCGACTTGCCGTGAACATGCGCGCATATCGTGCGACGTCAACGCTGTCGGTGCGCCGGAAGAGCCTCGATGTCGGAGTGATATATATATAGGCTTTCGCACCCCGTCCTGATTTTGTTAATAGTAGATCATATCCTAAAATATACATCTGTCGCTACCTACTTGTACTGAAGCGCCAAGCTCGAACCGTGATAACATACCAAAGTACTTCTGTTGACATCACTCCAGCTTGACTCCTCACGGATACCGCTGGCCATCGAGTAAAATGGCACGCCCACTAGAAGGCAAACTCGCTATCGTAACAGGTGGCTCACGAGGTACTGCCCACCTGTCACCGCCCTCTACCCCCCACAACACTCTAACAAGATCCTAGGCATCGGCGCAGCGATAGCAGAGAACCTCGCCTCTAAAGGCGCCAACCTCGTGCTAAACTACACATCCGCCTCCTCCTCCTCTCTCGCCTCCCAGCTCGCCGAGAAGCTCCAGACTCAACACTCCATCCGCGCCCTCACAGTGCAAGCCGACATCGGCAGCCCCTCAGGCGCAAGCACCGTTGTCGAAGCCACAAAATCCGCCTTCTCCAAAGAAGGCGACAAGCTGCAGATCGACATCCTCGTCAACAACGCCGGCATCGCCCAGAACGCCTTCCTGCAAGACGTCAAGATCTCCGAGTTCGAGGAGACCTACAGGGTGAATGTCCTGGGCCCGCTGCTGATCACCCAGGCCGTGGCACCCTACCTCCCCACCGACCGGTCGGGACGCATCATCAACCTCTCGTCCGTCAGCTCCAGCACCGGGTTCATCACGCAGTCCGTCTACGGCGGCAGCAAGGCGGCCATAGAAGCCATGACGCGCACCTGGGCGAGGGAGCTGGCCGACCGCGCGACGGTGAACGCCGTCAACCCCGGCCCCGTCGAGGGGCCCATGTACAAGAGCAACAGCCCCGAGTTCCTGGCCGGCATCAAGGGGTGGATCATGCACACGCCGCTGATGAAGGCGCGGCCGGGGGTCGACGCGGACGAGGTGGTGGCCGATGCGGAGGAGAGCGGTGGGAGGCCGGCGTATACGCCCGAGGTGGCGGGGATCGTGGGCATGCTTTGCTCGGAGGACGCGGCGTGGTGTACAGGGCAGGTTGTCTGTGCCAATGGCGGGATGTTGATGTTGCATTAGAGCGGCGAGATGATGGTGCAGTCAAAGGTAGTTCAATGTCGAGAAACTGATAGAATATGTGAGGCCATATCGCAGAGTGAAGTGTAGGTGGAGAAGAAGAGGTGGGTTATGTCGATTCGTATCTTGCGAGATTGGCGATGCCATTCTTCAATCGCTCGGGGAGATAGATGAACTGCGCAGTGACGAGAGGTGATCGAGTGGATTACCAACAAAGTCGCGATGACGAGCAGCTCCCATATTCCAGTTTCGGTGCATTGCTACGGGGCAAGCTTTCCGCGCGGCTAGCACGGTTGACATGCACGTTGTAGATACCCGAAATATGTTGAGCACCACGGACTCACCATTACAGAGAATATACACCACCGGCAGGTATTCCAGAGACACCACGAGTTTTGATCGAGGTTGTGCTCAGCCTGGAGATGTTGGGATATCGTAAGGCGTTACCGCGTGCCTCGCACGACTAGACGACTCATTCTCCTGACATATGCACATCACTCGAATTTCGGCCCTATCCAAAGTCAACCCGAAATGTATTTTTACCAACACATTACCTGGCGGAAAGCATCAACTCATACATTTGCACATGGCTCAAGACGGCGCATAGGAGACCAGACACGTGCCCTCACACATAATCCAGGACATAGTGAACGCCACCCCAGAACTCGTACAGTAACGCCAGAAGGATAGACCTGATTCAAAAACGCACTCGCCTGACGGCGTCACAAGGCCTAGTAGCACTACTTCGGCAAGCCCCCATTTACAAGTCCTGGCCTATTCCTTGGCAGCTTCTTCCTCGGCCTTCTCCTCCACCTTCTCAGCGGTCACGCTGTCGCCGGCGTCGGCAAGAGCCGCAACAACCTTCTTCACTGCATCAACAGTGCCAGCAGGGCTGCCAGGCTCGGCGAGGATGACTTTGCCAGCCTTGTCGACGACAAAGACACCCCGCTGCGTGCCCTTGGGCGATTTCTTGAGCCCGATGGCGGCGATCAGAGTCGCGGCCGGGTCGCAGAGGAGCGGGTATGGTAGCTTTTGCTTCTCCTTGAAGGTGGTGTTGGCCTTGGGCGAGTCGGTGGACAGACCGTAGATGGCCAGGCCACCTGCTGTGAGGGGCGCGTATGAGTCGCGGAAGAGGCATGCTTGGGTTGTGCCTTGGCCGAGTTAGCCTTGTAATCATAATCATACAGTTGATATTCGATCATTGACACGGAATTGTGCTAGGACGGTCATGCAAGGGCAGTGCGTGAAAATATTGGGTATAACATGACCACGCGAGGGCACTCTGTAGTGAAGTTGGTCCAGGCCAACTTCATCCATTACAACCACC